TATGAAAAATTGAGATATGTCAGATTTGCCCAGGCGTAGTCAGACGTTGGCTTTCCTGATTCTGCCCATGGCTTCCTAGCCCATGTTTGCATGCTGGTCTGGAGTCTAGACAGGTGGGTTGCGAACCACATATGAACTTCAGTTTTCCTACATCAGATTACAATTAGTATCGGCTGAAGGTTGCATGAAGCAAAAGGAGCAGAGTGTCACTTACCATTGATCATCTGGAAGAGTGTGGCCGTAAGCATTCGTGCCGTAGTCAGCTGCAGCGATACCAATCTGTCCATTGGCCATATCTTGGCCGAAATACTCGACATCCTGTAAAATCCTAGCTGCTGTAACAAGCTGTGCAGAGTTAAAACCTAGCTCATGTCTGCGAACCTCCTGCCAAGTAGCGATGTCACTGGACAAAGCCGAGCATTGCCCGTTATTGGGATTGCAAATTTGCATCCTTTCGTCACAAGCCATAAGGCTGAAGAAAGGTGCATCTACCACATAGATAGTTTCTGGGTAATACTGTGCATCCTCGTTGGATGGCATTGGGGTCTTCGCAAGAAATAGGGGATCTTCGACAGGCTCAAAATATTGAAGAGCACCTGACGTGAATACAGATACGGTTGTATCCGCATCATCGCGGTGAAAAGTAGGGTTTGGTATACTACCGTCATTTTGCGTGAAGATGTAACGTCTGGAAAGTGAAAGTAGTCAGTCAATGAACTGAAACTTGGTGGGTTGATTGCCGGGGTCTAATCACTTACGATGCAAAATAGCCTGTAGCGTAAGATTGCGCGTCAAGATTTACCACGGCCATAATGTCCTCATCATCATTAGACCAAATCCTTATGCCAACATAACTTGCATTGACGTCGGACACGCTATATGGGCTTGACGATGTAAATCGTGCGGTAGTAAGATTCTTAGGGTCTAGCACTCCGCAAGTAACGGTTCTGCGAAAGTTTACTCGATCTTTCTTCGGTGCATTGATGCCGAAAATCGTATGAGAGTCCATAAGCCCTGTGTCCAGTCGCAATGCAGGACCAGGTTCTCTCCCTGGTCCCAAGCAAGTAGTGTTGATGGTCCAAGGACAGTCGACGTCTTCCTGCGTCCAGTCTACTGTGGGCTTCACAAAAGATGATTGAATTTGATTAAGGCTCTTATTATATGCTAGTGCCGCGTAAGCACGAGCATCACGAGTTTTTGTGAACTCGAAATCAAACCAGCCGGTCATGTCTTCGGCAGTTGCGTTGCCGACAATTGTACCGGTGTACCACAAGTCGCCGCAATCCAGAGGTTTGGTCAAAACGATGACATTCTCATACGATTTGCTTGCTACTTCGGCGACAAGAACTCCTGCAGCAATAAAAAGCGAGAAGAACGTGACTGCTAGAACCAAAATTGGTACTGTGCGGACCCGAACACGCCGAGCTCGACCTTTCCAGGCTCTTTGTAGGTTGAATGTGTCGAGGATTGTGTCAAAGATAGAGCTTGGTGAACGGTAAAGAACCTGGAGTTGCTGGTCAAGAATATCCTTGTCGGCACGAACAGCAGAGCGTTGATGTAGGTAGAATAGTAAAAGTGACCATGCTCGAGAGCCCGCCCAAGCCACGAGGGAGGACAGAGCAGCAATGAGGTAGTTACCCCATCGTACAGAAATCGTGAAGGTAGCACCGATTGCAGGTGAAGAATTGTGATTGATCCAGAAGCCCGTCTGGATATTCATTGTATTCGACATTTTGCAGACACTTCACAACGATAGTGACGGGATATCCAAGGATAAAGTAATAAAAAAATGTCACAATACTGAGAACACCGCCTTTGCCTCTGCCAAATATAAGACCGCTGTAGATGACTGTAATTTACCTTTCTAAAACCGCAACAGACCACCCTTTTATATGATTCCGTGTGTCAAACATAATCCCTAACTTTGCCTATCATGGAAAGCTAGAATTGAGAAAGCATTTTTTGGTCCAGAACATCAGGTGCGGAACTCAAAGATCACGACATGCCTTAACATCGACAGTGTATTAGCTAAGTCGAGTTTAGCTAATCTTGGGGGCCTTCCATACATTGGACTAGAGTGCAGAGCTGACTAACAACTCGCAGAATAAGGTTGGAGCTGAAGGGAGATGCAGCACTTTTGCTATCTTTATTTCTTAGCTTGCCTTAGTTGCGTGTGGCTGAGTATGCTAGCCGTGAACCGACAGGTCTTTCCCTCTTTCGTGAACTACATCGAACACCTGTAGTATGGGCGATCGAGGCCCAGCAGGTCTTTATGTCAAGCAATCGACATGCAGTAGCATTATGAGAACACAAATGGCCCCAAGTTTATTCATGGCTACACATCATTGCCCACGACAAGCTTCCGGGGCCATTCCTTTCAAGCACCTCGCTTCGGACCGACATCTAAGCGAGGGTTGTTGGCGGCGATGGCACCGGAACGCTAATCTTGATATGACTTGCCTAATTGAGCGCTAAGTGGGTGTGCCGTGCTGCAGGATTCACGGTGGCAATTAGTGCCTGTGGCCCCCGTACGATTGAATCTTGGGCAAGATATTTCTTTGGTGCCGCAAGATGTTGCCCGATTTAAACATAGCGAGGGACCATCTTTTCTCAAGAAAAGGAGGGCGGGTATCTTGGGGCATATAGCATCTGTGGGAGATGACTCAGTGAACGCAGCATCTAAGGAAGGAAATCCAAGCCAAAATTTGTGGCTTGCTTGGCCAGATCACTACCATTTTAGCTCCCTTGCTCCAGCATACACATCGTCAACAGGCGAGACTATATTTTCCGCCATTCAGAAAGTATTTAAGATGAAAGAGTAGATTCAAATTGAGGCGTTTCGTACATGATCTGTCTACCGACTCTAAATCCATAGCATACCAAACACCAGCCTACAAGTTTTTTCTTTTTCCTTCCTGTATAGAATCTATTGTTCACACCAAAGAGTCTCACAACAGTAAACTCCATTCATAACCTCCACGAGACCCATCAGGCGAACTGAGTTCCTATCTGGAGTAAGTCGGTAGAAGGATCATTATTCTTCACTTTAGTCTTGTCCTTGCACAGTGTCGAACCACTAGAGGCTTCGAAATCACCCATCGTCTTCGATGTGTCAGGCCAGCAGATTACACTAGCTGATTTAGATTTATGTCTCTTCCTGGTTTGATAAATTATTTTTAGCTGAGAAAACATTAGATTTATCTCAAGGAACTATTTACCCCCGGCGTTTCAAGTGGTCGACGTCTTTTAGGGCAGATTTTTTCGTGGTGCTAGGCATGATAGTAGAGTTTCGATTAATGTAAAATTGCTGCCGGTGGGTGTGATGCTAGCAGCAATCAAAGTAGAGAACATCGAGTGATGCACTCTGATTTTGCATACAAAAACGTTTGTATATAACATTCCCGAGAGCAAGATATTTATATAATATATTACTTCATTTCAAGTCGTAGCAAACAGGACACAGCATCCGCCAGAGTCAACATTACGACTCAATAATTGTGCGAGTTGAGCTGAAGCCGCATTCTTTTGCGCGTCAGTCATCACCGGGACTCGTCAGTCTTAATAACGGGAGCAGTTCCATTGAAGCAAAATGCGCACTCTGCACTGAGTGCTCCGCGGAGGCGTCAAGTCCTCAACTATAAACAAGGACGCGGGGCTCGGACTTACCAAGGCTTGAAATTGCGCTGGACATGATGGGAATTGCGCAGCCAGCAACACCATATGTACTAGTTGCGCAACAATGCGCACGCATGGGCAGTTGACGCAACTCCCCTTTTCTCGCGAATGGTAAGCATGAATACCACGAGCTTGCTTAATTGAAGCTTCCGATGCAGGGGTGAGCGGCCGCCCTCTCGGCACCACCCGCGCCACTTGCGCGAGCCGCGCAACGAGGCTCTGCCCGTAATCTCGGCTTTCGAAGAACGAAGTAGTTACTCTACTCCTCGGCCAGGGTAATAAACGTTAATTGTTAAAGGATGAAGACACTTATATCGAGAGCTATAATGTTTATCAAGTTGTTACTGTTTGATACGATCAGTTCACATTGAGCCAATTCTTATAATGTTGCTGGTCGTCAAAGGAAACGTTATAGTAAATACACTGTTATCATAGTCATGGTCTGCTGGTTCATGAATGATGTGAAACAGGCTCCAAGATAAATAAAGACGTTCCATCATAACCAACAATACAGCTCTCTCATAAGTCACTAGCTTTTAGACTTTCTATCTCATTTTGTGATTGCATGCTCAGTGAAGTCCTTCCACGTGCTCTGGAGGTACACGTAAATCGAATGGCCAATGAAAGTGGATTCGCGAAGTGGCCAAGGGTTGGGCAACTCGAAACCCCGCACGAGCCCCAGGTTCAGCTGAGATCAGGCGAGTTGGTCAGACTCTTCACGTCTGACTTCCCGACTTACCTCTCTCCAACAATCGCCAACCGCATGGTACCCTTTTAGAGACTTGCGAAAATGATAGCCGAATATATTTCTTCATCGCCATAGTGAGGGGTAGACAAACCATGTGCTATGGGCTTTTTCAAGCGCAAAGTAAAAGACGGTGAGGAGAAATCCTCGACCGAAAAGGATGTCGGAACTCGAGAAAAGCTTCGAAACCTCTGGAAATCTGGTATCAATGAGGCACCGCAACAAAGCGAGCAGTCTGTTATCTCAGCTACATCGTTAAACCCAACTCCGCAGGACATTGTGCAAGAAGACACGGCAACGAGTCCAAATGAGAGCAAACCGGATGTAGCTTGTTCATTGCCTGAATCAGAATCCGTCTCTTTATGGGATCTCGCATATGATTCTTTGAAAGAAGAATACTCCGAGAAAATAGAGCAGTATGAAAGGGTTCTCTCCAGCCGAGATTTACATGGCGGTATGTCGGCGTAGACTGGAAAAGGCTGCTAATTTGTACTGACAACGACTACAAGATGACGACGACAAATCAAAGAATGATTGGAATACAATTGTTGGGAGCGATGCGTCAGTACGGCGCAGACAAATGGAGAAAATCATTGCGGCGGGCATGTCCCGGGCAGAGGAAACCCGGCTCAAGTTCAACATCGGCCAACACGAGGTTGTTGTTCGTGACCAACTCTCAAACGCCGCCAGTTTCGTAGACTGGGGCAAAGACTGGATTGGAGAGGCAGTCAAGGCCAGTCCAGAAGCTAGCCTCGTCTGGGCTGGTGTCTGTGCTGTTCTGCCGCTCTTGACGAATGCGATATTAGCAAAAGAGGCCAACGAGACAGGCTTCACGTATGTTACAACCAGAATGCGCTACTATGCTGCGATCCAATCTCTCCTTCTCCCAGAGAAGAGAAAAGAGGAGGCTAGTGAGGCTATCAACACCGAGTTCCGAAAGACGATCATACAGCTATACAAGCAAATCATTGACTATCAAGTTCAGAGCGTGCTAAGGTTTTTTCGAAGCAAAGCCAAGACGATTGCTAGGGAGGCAGTGAAGAAAGACGACTGGGAAAAGATGGTCGAAAAGATCAAAGAAACGGAATCAGCCATCCAACAAGACTCTCAACAGGTGAACACTGCCATGAGTAGGGAGGAATTGGCAGCGCTCGCAAAGAAGGCGGAGCAGATATATGAAGCCATGAAGCAAATCCTTCATGTAGCCGAAGAACAACTTAAAGAAACCCAGAAACAAAATGAAATTCTGTCTGAACAACTCGGCGTTATCAAAGACCAACGCGATATCGGAGAGAAGTTACTTGCTCTAGCGGCTCAGCGCGAAGAATGCTTGCAGCTCTTTCGACTGACAGACTTTCAATGGTACAAGGACCGTGTGGAAAACAGAGTGGAAGATACTTGCCTGTGGTTTCTCGAGCATGACAATTACAAGAACTGGCTTGCTGCCAGTCGCGGCCCGCTGTTAGTATCAGCCGATCCAGGTTGCGGAAAGTCTGTGCTATCCAAATATTTGGTCGAACATGAGCTTCCAAAACGTAGCGAAGCGACAATATGCTACTTCTTCTTTAAGGAAGGGGATCAGAACTCTGCATCGCAGGTGCTATCATCTTTAATACACCAGATTCTAACCAAAATACCAAGCTTGGTCGAGCACGCTTCAAAGGAAGTTGTGGCGAATGGGAAGAATATCACCAACATGTTGACCTCACTATGGGCTATCCTAGAAAACTTAGTTGAGGACCCCTCCGCCGGTGAAGTCATATGGGTACTTGATGCGCTGGATGAGTGTATACACGGCGATCTTGCCATCATTGCACAAATGATGAATGAATACTTCAACGACGCTCGGAGCAACAAATCAAAACTGAAGATCATTCTTACTAGTCGACCATATGACGACGTGACATTCAAGTTTGAAGGCCTTGCCGAAAGCTTTCCCACTATTCGCATACATGGAGAGGACGAATGGGCAGTCGCCAGTATAACCCGAGAGATCAATGCAGTCATTGAGTATCGTGTGGACAAATTGGCCAAAGAGAAGAAACTCTCTCCAAGTATCAAATCACACCTCAAGAAACGCTTACACGAAGTACCACACCGTACTTATCTCTGGGTTTATCTTGTGTTCGACTACCTAACCACACACCTCTTCAAGAAAACGGTGAAGGGTGTCGACGCTGCCTTGGACACGCTTCCGGAAACAATCGAAGAAGCTTACGAAAAGATGCTGAATCGTTGCACGGAACCAGACCAGGCTCGAAGAGCTCTTCAGATTCTGTTGGCGGCATACCGACCCCTGAGGCTGAGCGAAATGAAAGTTGCTGTCGGGATCACGCCTGAAGCCTCATCTCTTGACGATCTTGACCTGGAAGAAGATGAAGACTTCAAGCTCAGACTTCGGGATTGGTGCGGACTGTTCGTATCTGTTTTCGACGACAAGGTCTACTTTCTCCACCAGACAGCAAGGGAGTTCTTGATTGCGAACCCCCTTCTGCCGACACAACAGCCGCTTACCTGGGCTCATACATTTGCTATCGGTGATACTCATGCTTATCTTGCAGGAGTATGCATGATCTACCTCTGTTTCGAAGGGCTAGACTTTGAAAAGGCAGTGTCGCTAGACCCCCAAAGCAAGAAACAGCCCAATGCTGTCATAACCAATAGGGGCTCGAAATATAGTGTCATGATCCACGAAGAAATCGTAGAGAAGGAAGAGCAACCATTCTTGAAGTACGCACTGAATATGTGGGACGATCACATTCGGGAATACGGTAGCACACCGCGAGATATGCGAGACTTTTATAGCATTCTCTGCGACACTTCCAATAAGACATGCAAGGCTTGGTTCGAATCCCGAGAGAGCTGGGCAGAATTTGGCATCGAAGATTTGAGTCCTCTGGGAATACGTTGTCTTTTAGGGCACCTCGAAAGCGTCAAGCGTGCTGTGTCCAAAGGGGCAGATGTCAATGAACTTCCAAACGAGGATGGCCTCTCTCCCCTTTATGCAGCTACAGTCGGCCGACATTTCGACGTATTTGAATACCTCCTATCCCAGGGAGCAGATCCCAATTGCTCCTGGTGCAGTGTCCTCCTATCACAGCAAATAATCCTGGAGCAAGCAAATCACCCCTGGGAACAGCGAAATTGGGAGAATCCCAAGTATGGAGAAAAATCATTACAACAGCAGATCGTGTACGATAAGATACCATGGCTCGAGCGCGCTCTCGAGCACGGGATGGATCCAAACCCCAAATGCAAATGGGGATTTTCCCTCCTGCATCTCGCCACGACTAGCCAGGTAGTAAAAGCTCTCTGCGATAACGGCGCTGATGTCAATGCCAAGGATTATTGGGGTGTAACTCCGTTAGACATATGCTCCATCGATGAAGTGAAGGATACTCTTCTCTCTTTTGGTGCCCAGCATGGATCAGCTGCAGAGGCTGCGGATAGAACGTCAACTGGACTAACAGAACTTGAGCGAGATATTGGCGACTTGATGAAGTCGGCGTTGCAGCATGGGCAATGGGATGTGTATCGAACTTTATCAGCATACTAGACGAGTGCTTGGGCTTGTTAGCCTCAAGGTGTAGATATGTTTAAGATTTCTCGCTGTAACGAAGAAACGCGACTGAAATATTCTTCACAACAAAAAAAGTCGACATTACTTGAAGAAAAAAACCCGTCGGACAAAGGCACCGAAACATGCATGCAGGAGGTGACGCTGACCCATGTGACATACAAGTCGTCTTCATGCACAGCCACAAGGCGACTCTGGTTCGCTTCTCTCACCCCCTCAACCCCCAACCCGCGTCAGTTGCCTGTTTACCGTAAGGCGTGGCTCGGCCCAGCTTCTTAGCCAACTCAGATACCAGGCTACGTCGCGGAGGCGGGCCATGTACGCACGCCCGGGGACTCAGATTCAGGATACCTCTGCCACACTTTGCAAATGTGCCAATGAATATGCCCCGGCAAGCTCTGCCCTCTGCCCTCCACACCACAACTGCACGTCTGCCCACCACTTGCTTCCTACTACGACGCAGGTGTCGGGCCATACAGATGGCGACGTTGGAGCAACGAGGATATTCAACAGATTTAGTCAGGAAGAAGCTAGGGTGCTAAGAAGCGGATGCGTACTCTTGTTACGAAGTTACGTCATTGGCGGGACGCCTTCTTCGTAGAGCACGCCAGGGACTTTTGGAATGCGCGCCATGATGGGAAACGCTCAGTCACGGCTCTCAATCGAGGCTCGTCAATATTCAAAGTCTTCGCCGTTGCCTCTAGCTACGCTGTCGACTAAAAGAATGCAGGCTCAACTGGGAACCGCATCAGAACTGATGGACACTGATTGAAAGTTAGCGGCTGGGAACAATGAGCTGCCACATGTTGAGCGGGCTACCTTACTGTGCATACCATAAATGTACCCTACGACGACATGGTGTCTACCTAGGTTATCTAAGGCGCCTTTATGGCAGAGACAAGCATTACGTAGGTACCTCACCCTCACCTGTGTACGTAGGTAGATGCAAGAGCCTCGACCTCCCGGCAAAGATGCTTGCGCAGTTCCACCTAGATACGTAAAACGCCATGTGGCGGCCCACATCGCGCCTTCCGTTATCCAAATTTACCCCGTCTCCAGGAACGGCAAGGCGTCCTCGGCCAGGCCAGGTCGAAAACGGTCAGAATTCTCCGTTTGCGCAGAGTGTTAAACTGGGGTAAATGGCGGTCGCTGCTCACCCGTCACTATTCGCCAATGGTTTGCTCCAATGTGCGGTCTACTAGTGGCGCGCCTGCATGCGCCTGCATGAATACCCACCCGAGCCACCCTCCCGAGGGAACCCAGCAGCCCTGCCCGGGTGGACTGGAGCAGGCCCAGCAGGCCCAGCAGGTCCAGCAGGTCCCAACAGCAAAGACCGTGGTACCGCCCCACTGCCCCAAGGTGGTTAGTGACCTACCTTACCTTACCTTACCTTAGAAAGGGCCTGGCCATACCTTAATCCCCAGCGACCCCGGCACCTCTGTCATCCTGGGTCCATCAGTTACGACATCCGACATCAGCGAGTCAGCGAGAAGGCACCCCACCATCAGCCACAATTTGCTATATAAATCTTTGCCGCCTGAACATACCCGCTCCACGAAATCCCTATATATCGAGCATTGAACAAGCCAACCATTCATCTACAATCACTTGAATCCGACCTTCGTTCACGCCGTCTAATAGTCATCGACCATCTTTCCTGAGTCTTATGCACCTTCTGGCGCCGTTTATAGTACATAGCCGCATTGAACCTGAAGCAAACTTGAGGTCTATTTGCCGTCCAGCAAAACACTGTCCAAGCAACACGCCAAACAATGAATCTGGACACAGTCGCTCGTCGCCGCTTTGCTTGCCCCTTTCACAAAGTTGATCCCGAAGGCGAACCGACCTGTGGAAGTCCCAAAGCGACAAACAAAACTGGCGGTTTTGAAAATCTTAACCGCCTCAAGTATGTCTTATCACGGAAACGGTGTACCTGGACCAGAAACTGATTACCTGCTAAAGGACGCATCTGAAAGACTCTCATGACAAGTCGCAGCATTGCTCCAGATGTTGGGTTAACTTCAAGAATAGTTCCGGAAGCCATCAGAGCAATTTTCAAGAGCATCTGGCACGTGGTACCTGCTCTACTCGACGTCCACCCCGGAAGTATTGGCTAGATGAGGCACAGAAAGCGAACTTGAACAGAACACAACATGGGGGTGATATCGAGCGGTGGTACCGTCTATTGAAGATGGTTGTGCCCATTTATCAAGATAGCACGCTCGAGCAGCTCATGGCGTGGTACACGCCGTGTAAGTCAATCTCCACTTTTTTGGCCTACCTACCTACATAGGTACTTACAATTCACCAAGGGTATGAGCCATCGCCTACTGAACCCCACGATTTGTCAACGTCGCCAAGCTTGATACTTACACCTATGTCGACACCCCCTCAACCTAGTATCAATATACCTTCGACGATCGATTTCAGTGTGGCAGCTACCCCGAGCATGAATCAGTCCGTCTTGAATTCACAGCCCTTTGGGAACATGTCTGACCCTTTCGCTACGCATAGAAATGATTCCCCTGCAGATGAGCCATGTCTTTCTGACTCTTTCTTGTTTCCACCATGCGATGAGGCGACGCATTATGAACATTCCCCTGCACCAGCCCTTGAAGATACATGGATTAACGGCTCTCTGAACTTCACGCACCAGCTACACGCCACTGATCACCCTAACGATATCCTAGTGGGCCCGTCGTCTGTAGATTACCTACAAGACAAGATAAAAGAACTCCGTATTAAAAATTACCAGTATCGAGAGGTAGTCAATTCAACCCTAAGGTCACTTCAACGGCTGGATACTGAATTTCAGATGATGCAAAGAGCAACGAGGCTTATTCCCAGCATGCTCCGGAGAATGATCCGAGCAAGAACCTTACTTTCAGAAATTGAGAGCACCCTGAATAATGCTTAAAGATAGTTTCTAGGAACGCAACCTCAGGTGCAGCTTCCCTAAGTTTGGAAGGCCGGATCTACTGCGTCATTATATGATCGGTATCAAGCATACTAACGATTCATGGAGCCACCAAACTACCTTTGAAAAACTCTGCAGGAGCAGAGCATCAGCGTCGAGGCATCGTGTCGAATTTGGTCTAGTTCGAGCCAAATATCCTGCGGCACTGACAAGCAAGCCTTATTGTTTTTCAAGAGAAAACTTCGCAGATGACTGGTATGCAGCCTCTACGTCTTCACATGAGCAGTAAATGCTAATTAATCCATTCTCTTCAGGTCTAGACTACTCAAAAAGCCAAGTTATCAATTTCAGAAGCCAACAGGACAATACTGCTTTTTGCGGTTCTTAATGAGGATGTTCTCTAGATTCTGTTCCTCGCATCCGTAGGCCACAGTCCCATATTGTTCCATCCGCCAAAGAATCAATACAGTACCAAAGAAGCCAACTCTTCGTCTACCAGACTGTACTTTTCTCCAATGTTCAAGGAGGGTTTCAAAACGCGACTAGTAATCATATCCTTGGCTCACTGCATAGGCTCTATAGTGGAAGATGTCTAGCTCCAAGGCACTTACTTCGTTGGCATATATCACAGCACTACCACAGTAGGAGTTAAACAAAGTGCAGTGGAGTTAAAATAATATGGGGAGACATTTCACTACAACCTTTTTATCTGTTAAACTATGGAAAACATCAGCAGAGGCCTTTCATCTGTTCTTACTTTGGATATGTAAAGTGCACACATGGGCTTTGCATTTAACGACTGGTCGTCCTTTGAACCATGATAGCAATCTACATCTTATCTGAGTATTGGAGTCGAGGTGTGCGCCTGAGATAATTCGTAGGACGGGCCTGAAGTATCATACTAATATGGATCGAACGGCTTTGACATAAGTCAAACAACCACATCACTGCTGCATCCGCTCTCTGGGTGCAGTTCAACTTTCCTCTCTTCCCAACTATCTTTCTAGCTGGTTGTGATACCTAAGCATGATAAGGATTTGTCCAACATCTTTGCACCCAGCTTTCTACTGTGGCTGGGCACTTTTACGTGAACTTTTTCAACCCACTCTGTCACTTACATCAATTCGCAAACGCAGTCGTGTGACACTACATCACTTAGGTATTCAAAACATTAACACTGTTCCGTGGGAGCTAGAGAGCCACAATAGTATCGGGTCAATCAAGACATAGATATCCGTTATAAGGAGAGTGAGAGGAGTATAATTTTCTCGAAGTCCCGCTGATCTGAGAGCAAGGTGACACGCTGCAAATCATAGTACAATCGAGTGGGATTGACAACATTAATACAGAATCTGGTATGTATATATCATTTCCGTAGAAAAAGGGTCAGACTACTTAGTAGGAAAACGACATTGAGACAGGTAGAGAGCCAATAATATTCCTGTCTGAAAGTGTCTTACTTATCTTCTTTTCCGTCAATTATTGGACGGCAGCCACGGTTAATGGCCAAAATGGGTAAGAGCCAGTGGAGTAATTGGAGGCTTTCAGGACCCCGCTCATCTGCTTCGAGTCGCGCAGAGACATTTGTGTCGGTCATCACAGAGAGGTGAGTGGTTACAAGGCGCTTTTCCCACCCGGAAACAAACCTATGACATTGTTGACAGACGTGATTAATTAAAGTATTTCAAAACGCAAAATTGGGGTTCCCCAATTTGTGGATTTCACGTGTAGCACGACGGCGCAAATAACTCAACATCATTTCCAACATGCCTGATGCGGACGCAATTATCCGCCGCCGCCGGCGGTTTGCTTGTCCCTTTCAGACATTCGACAAGAAAACGCACTCAACATGCGGGGCGCGCAAAATGATCAACCCTCACGGCGGATTTTCAGATATAAACCGCCTAAAGTACGTGATACCATAACGTGCAACACATACAAGTAGTTGACCAGACAAAGAACCCACTTGAAAACATGTCATGACAAAGTGATCACCCTGCTTGTGCTTCTTGCCCTGTTCATCCTCGGGCGGCCAGAAGAATTGGGCTCTATCAGCCCCGATAATGTGAGGAGTGATGGCGGCCTCGAGATCCTTTCGCGTCTTCCGAAAGTGCAGGTTGTTAAGGCGAATCATGCGCCTGTTCTTGCGGAACACCTGGATTTCGTCTTCAAAATCATCGCGGGGCGACATTCTAGTCACCGGATTAGTAACAGTCGCCACCTAAGATGTACTGCTGCCAACGAGAAATGCATTACCGAGCAGCATGTACTTACTTCGATATTACGTGCAGTGTCGAGATGATTTTGTTTGTTGAGAGTGATGGTGCTTTTCGCTTGTTGTGTGGATGGATCTGTACGTGGAAGCCTTGGTTGGGACAGTAGAGGTGGTGAAAGTACGCCGCTATTGGCATTTTGGCCCCACAATAAGCACATTTGTCTTTAATTGGGCAAGAGCAGTGGACTTCGGCCCTTTTTGGTAATCAAGCTCTAAGTATTGCAACTGCAGCGTTAAGAGTCTACCTAGAGTTATTGCGGTGTCTCTTTGTCACGCAATAGTCAGTCGCTTGCACAACAAACCCAACAGTAAGACGTAATCTTGTTCTCTTCAAATTAGATGGCGGCTAGAGTACAAGAAAATAGACTCAATACTATGATCGCTAGAAGGAGTCGCACAAAGTGAACTCGCTGCCACAACCCAATGGCACACGTTCCCAAGTTGGCCGTGAGCCGACGGTGGCTACCGATCACAATCTTCTATGAGACCACAACTCCCTTCACTAAGATAAGCTGCCCAATTTAAGTTTGAGTGCCTACCGAGCTGGATCTTTCCGTTGTCTGTAAATGTGTATCGGAGAAGGGAGTTGTTTGTTGCTTGGCAGGTCAATGTCAACTTGCAACGTTGCAAACTAAACAGACTTTGATGAGCTAGCTGTCACACAAATGATCCAGCAAACTCTAAACGTGTCATCGGAGATAGGTAGATTACGGGTTCGTTGAAAGCCTATGGAGAGCCTTTCGAGTGATAACGCGCTTGATATAGCTACCAAGCTTCTGCAAGTGTGGACACTCCTGAAGCATCTTGTGGAGGCTTAAAGATCATATGGAAGAAAACTTAGAAAGGCTCTACATGGCCTTCGGAAGAAAACAGTAATAAAGACAAGTTGGTGCCGAACTAATGCTTCAGCAGTTACGCAGACTATAATATCGGAGAAGCAAGGGAGAATACCGTCTTTTTAGTTCAGATTGATGATTTGATTTACCAGGGCTCTGCTTGACCAACTCGAAAGATGGCACTTGGCGTATTGCCGATCTCAAGTCAAGCATTAACCAATGCAAATACACAAACCAAGTACCGGCAGAATAGTGAACTTACATCTGTCAAAAGAAGCCCTAATTTCGAGCCGGAGTTGCGAGGAAAGGAGGCATCATGCAAGATTCGTACTCACTCCCCGCATACATAGGTACGTGGGGCTGCCAGGTTAACACCAATGATACTTTTAAGGCCAGGTCTAAGGCTTTTCAGCCATCAGGAAGTGACCGGTCGGTCATCGAGAAAGACCTTTCGGTCATCAGGAAAGATCTATCGATCATCAAGAAATATGGGAACCTGGACTTGCGTCCATAAAGGTACTAGCAAACTAGTCCTTCACCCTCCATGGAGGGAAGTTCGACCCAGTCGTCTAGCCGTTGAAGCAAGACCAGTGAGTCATCGGCAAATTGCTTGAAGCGCGCAGACATCGTTCAGAGGCTTGGCGATCGAAGCAATCATCTGTTGTCCTTCGTTATTCCGACCCACTGCATAATACCGGTTTTACCAGTTACCTCGGGCTTGGACGTGCTAGTGTCTCCGTCATGGAGGAGATCGTGTAATGGCTTGGGCGGATTGCGAACGCGTGGCAGGTCGTCTTCCTCGAAGGGAATTGTCACTTCGCGGAGAACCTTGCCCTCATCGTCCACGAGATTGATTGGGGCGTTCCGATCAATCGACCACTCCTCTTGTTTTACCATGTCGGGGTCCACTCGGCGGCCGTATGACTCCCAGGTAGAAAATTGGTCGTAGCCTCCCCAGCCGAGACAGACACCAGCCGGTCGGCGATGTTGGGTAACATGGCCCGTTGACGTGACCGAGCGATGTTCCGTCCATTCATTTTGCGGAGTAAAAGGTGCATAGGTTGGAGACTAGGCGATTGTCTCTGCTTCGATCCATCTTCACCGATCAGCTGGCCGTAAACCCACTTGTCCTTCGTCATATTGGAGGCAACGAACTTGTTGCCGCGGTCGAGGAAGCGTGCAGACTCCTGGGCAGGCTGGCCAGTTGATGTAACATCTACCGGCTTCTCGACCCTCCGGAGGTCGTTGTAGCCCTTCTCTGGCTCGAAGGCAGGCTTCGGAGCAAACCATAACTCCCACCCCTCATCCTGGAGGCGGGGAACATCGGCCATATGGACGATGACCCAGTCCACTCCTTGGACTTTCTTGCCTATGTCTCGGTGGGCCTTCGTGTCGCCTGTTTGGTCAGGGGCAACGTCCCGGCTCAAGGCCACGTACTCGGTGTCGAGGTTGTCGTTGTGCGCCTTGGAGTCGGCCACATAGAATCTCACCCATTGGCGGCTTTGGATCTTGTGCGTCCCGTCGGGGTCCAAAATCACTCAACGGAACGGCACTCCAAGAGATTCCCAGTACGCTTCGCGACGGTGTGCGTCGGCCAAGAGCGCGTCCAGATTGGCTCCTTCGACACTGTGCTCATCCTCGTCCTTCCAGGCGTCGGGCCAGACCGTATAATCAGACACGCCGAGCTTCTCCGTTTCTTTGACAAGGGTTGTCGCAGTACCGAGTTCCGGTGACTGTTGCTTAGTGAGAATGTTGGTTTGCCCCTGTGTACAGTATGAACATGACAAGCTAGAGGGGACAAGAAGGAGTGTAACTTGCCCTTAGGCGAACCTAAGGATCCTGCGACATCGACGTCACCCATATCAGTTTCGGAGGTAGGAACGTGAGACATGATACTGACAGTCAGCTCCAGGCCATTATCTTTGAAGGTATCGTTGGCGCTGGGCGATCTGCAGAGGTTGATGGGTTCGATGAATCAAGCAACGCCATGCCATTCCGTAGAACCGCGGAACAGCGGTAGCACTGTGACGAGGCGAAGCCTGGGAGTGATCCTTACTTGTTTATCACGACGGGATGTTATTTCTGATTTAAATGGGTTTTTTTTCTTTTTTTTTTCTTTTTCGGAAGGAAGTTTCAAGATTGAGATTGGTACCTGTCAATAACTGGTACGATTCAATTGTTATTTGGATGTGGTTCGTGCTTGCCTATAGGTGGACAGGGAGGTGGTTGTTCTACGTAGATGTACTGTACTGTACCTAGCCTAGTGAAGCGGTTAAGCTTTGAATACCCAAAGGACCCCTGAAAACTCTTATGGTTAACTGCTCACACCCTGCTTCCCTATCTCCGAAACGAATCTGAAGGCGGACGACAGTTCTAATATATAAACACAAGCAAAGCACCTGCCCAGTCGAACATTTCTCTGCCCTTTCACAAACAACACACGTAACAGTCTCCCATACCCAACATTCAACCAACACTAACACCATCTACATCTACATCTACATCTACACCTCCAGGCCGTCCACGCCATGTCTGACGACACGATACTGATGGACACCGGTTTGCCCGAGGGCGGCCTTCCCGCAATGGCCCTGCTGCCGCCAGGACTGGCCAGTGCCAGATCTGCCCATGATGAAGCACGGCGCATCTCGACAGAGCTCCGTGTGGCATTCGAAGCCCTGTCTCGTGAAGTTGAGCCGGAGGTCGAGCCGAACGAGGAGGAGGGAGAGCCGGACCCTAAAGCCGCCCGTCAGCTGGCACTTCTAGGAGTTGAGCTGGCTTCAAGAGAGAAGAATGCGCTGGAGCTGGAGCGCACTGTCATTGCCGAAGAGCGGGATTCTGGCATAATAAATGGCAAGACGGCAACGGTACGCCTCCATGACCTGAACAAGCGCTACCTATCTGCCGGAGACGACTTGTGGAGGCATCAAAAGAAAAAGATACGCTCCGACGACACCGGATTGGTACGATTGTTTGATCCACGTTCGAACCAAGTTTCTGAATGTATTCTGGCGATCTACAAGAAGTGTGATGGGCTCGAGAAGATGCCAAGACGGCCAAGTCATTGGGGCGCAGATGCCAGGAAGTGGTACTCAGGCAACGGCGATGAGCATGGGCTAGAAGCACAAGAGTGTACTTGGTGTCATATAAGCGGCCAATGGCATCCGAAATCGGACATCGAAGCCGCACGCATCGTACCTTTCTTCCCCGACGTTGCAGAAATTGGCGAGATACTGTTCGGGAGCAAGAAGGAATCACTCATACGAGAAGGAAATTCACTTCTCATGTCGAAGCTTATTAAGAGTTGGTTCGACAAGTATGATCTTGTAATCGTTCCTGTCGATGTGAACGAATTGCCCATCACAAGATGGAAAACAGAGCTGCTCAACCGCCACATGAGAAAATGCTACTACACCGCGTCACACATGGCTGAAGAGCTCGATGGAAAGGAATTGGTGTTCCTAAACGACAATCGTCCGGTCTCACGTTTCGTCTACTTCCATTTCGTCATGGCGCTGATCCGCATCAAGGATACCAAGAAGGACGGTTGGGAGAATGTCTGGGCTCGTTACTACGAGCAACGTCCTTTCCCAACACCAGGACCTTACATGCGAAGAAGCATGCTACTTGCGCTTGCTACTCATTTTGGGGCTGCCGATATGAATGTGGTTGAATCCTGGATCCAGGACAACGGCTTTGAGTCACCATTGAAGCTGACCGAGGACGAGACCACAGAAGTGGCCCGCCGAGTGCATGAGACGGTAGAAGCGGCCTATGCTCGCGCGGAACATCTGGAGGACCCAGATCACGGCGACCCCGAGGACGTATCGGATGACAACTCTGAACAATAGCTCAGATGAACAGAAAGGATGATTGAGTCTTCCAAAGAGACAGTCCATCAAACAAGATTGTAGCTCAGCTCCCACGTACGACGACTTTCTATCAGCATCATTTCGGTGCCGCAAAGTAGCGCTTCTTGAGCGAGACTTTGGTATCGCAAGCATCACAAAGCACAGATTTGCGTTAAAGAACCCAAGAAGCATGCATTGACTAGAGCAGGAAAAGGGTTCGTGGTTGCAATTGTAGATTTTCATGGAACTGGGCGCCGAGTATGAACACCGCACATCTCCATCGAGTTAGGCAGTCTCGCCGCTATATTCCGGCTTTGCTCAGTCAGGCTCAGCTCCGGCTCTTGATGCTCGCCTGTGGCTCTGATCTTCACTTTGATAACCCAGAGTTTAACTGGTGGTGCGGGGGGGTTGTTATATTCAGAGACAGAGAAAGTGGATGGTGGAGGTTGCGGGATCTTCCATGAAGACGGCGAAGACGTTGTGGTTTTAGCTTCCCTACCATCACAACCGTTGCATCCTGCCTATGAAACAGTTGAGAGATGTCAATTATAAGACTATGTAATAGATATAATTATAAAACAGCGTACAAACACCTAATTGAGTCCCATCTGTCTCTCTAGTCTTAATCGGACTGCTTAAGAAGCGCAATATACTTTGACATGATACTGTCTTGATTAAGGAGAATCAGACTACTTAAAAAACGAGAGAGAAAACAGAAGGAGTGAAATCTTTCAAGGCCAAGTTCATAATTTGGCAAACTCATCGCAAACCTCGATAAGTTTAGCTCTCGTTGCGGGTTCCTGTAGCGCGAATCAGTAGATTTCTTCCATACTCGGAAAGAATAAAGTATATACAGCCGCGCTATGGCCAGCATCTGCTATCCAATGTAGGGATGATTTGGGCCACAACTTGTGCAGTGTCCATGCCGTCAAGGGAGGGGTTACGAGATCATAGCGTCCCTGAATGATAGCTCCTATTGTCTAAGTTGTAGCAAGATCAACTCAATCTTTAGCAGCGGTAGGGATATACCTGGAATATCTTTCATCTTCTCGATGTTTTCGGGAGCCAAAAGCTGGCCATCCTCCAGCCAGGCACCGTGTACAGCATAGTGTGCCTCAAACAGGGCATGTGTGAGACTGTATTCAGGATCCTCTATCTGGGCAAAAGCCTCTGGGTTCGGCCTCAAAGCGCCGAGTGACATGGCCCGTATATTCCACTCTCTGGCGGCGGCGGAAGTCGTTTCGGGGTCATCTGAGGTTAGGCGTTTGTAATAGGAGCCTTTAGGGTCCTGTCTTTCGCTCTCTGGCAAGAAATTTAAGAATCTCTCGAATACTTCGGGAAAGAAGTTGGCTGCCGTGTACATTCTCTCATACTCGGCCCTCCGGGCTGTGAAAACACCCCGGAGCACCAGACAGCCGACGCGTTCGGGATAACTCTGTGCGTAGAACAGGCCGAGAGTGGTACCCCACGAGCCGCCGAAAACCATGTGCCACTTGGGTATTCCCAGGTGTTCACGCAGTTTCTCGATGTCCTCGCCGAGTCGCTGTGTCGTGTTCTCTCTCAGTTCGCGCCTGGGGCGAGACTTGCCAGCGCCGCGCTGGTCGAATAGGACTACACGATACGCGACCGGGTTGAAGAATCTGGTACTCCCCGGCGTTGTGTTCGCACCGGGACCTCCGTGCAGGTAGACGACTAGTGTTCAATAAACTCTCAATCTCGGCGCATTCAGTTTATGAGTAAGAAATCATTTCGCCACCGCGCGCTGTCAGTACGGAAGTCTGGTCGGTTGACCTACCTGGTAGACCTGTTTTTGACCCGTACTGGGCATAGTACAATTCGTGAATTGAATCAACTCGCAGAAACCCAGAGTCAAATGGAGGATTATGACTGTACCCAGCCGTGCTGGGCTTTGCAGGAGTGTACGACATTCTTCTGATCAAGAGTAAAACCCACCGGAAGTCAAGTAATTGATCGAGGGTTCACGTTCAATCCTGAAAGGTCAGCTATGCGTGGAACTTTATTCTCTCTGAGAAGTAGATTGCAAGTTCCTTATAATAAGCCATCTAAATATGTATGTATTAACAGTCGCCCGCGCTCAGAGCCCACCGCGGGATCCGGGTGCCGTAGCCCTTCGAGGCCGGACCAGATCGGAGTTCACACTCCGCATTGATCGTCTTCGAGCTTGCCTGTAAGTGATAATGTGCGAATAAACAAAAAGCTGACACTGGCTGGTATAGGGTTGCAGGAGAGGTACGTTCTTGCTGTTAACAAACAACCTGCTCCCACTGTATTAGCTCTGAAGTGGGGCCGCTGGGCTTCCAACATCGCTGCCGCTGTGATTATGTGAACATTTCTCCACAGCTGGAGCTCCCCAAGTCCACGGAAGGTTTATATTTACTCTGGGAGTCAAATAGGAGCCATCGTGGAATGAATTAGACGTCCATATATTCACGATCTTGGCAAGTCGAACCTCTTCTTGGCATGAAAGTGTAGAGTAAAGGCCAGGGCGAGTCGATCAAATAGGAAAAAACGTCATGCATCTATGATATATCTTCAAGTTCCGGAGCAAGGGTCAATAGGTTGGAAGAAATTCTCTCTTTCTCTCATCTATCGTATCTGCGTATCTCTTCTCCTCCTCTCGTCGCACGGAGACAGGATGGGGGTATCAGAGCGCACCTAGTACGCGCCTTCCTGCTCACCGCGACATAGCTCTCTCCCCTTCCTCTCTCTCCATCGACACCACCAAATCCACCAGTGAATCCAAATCCGTTCGTGTATCTTCAGCATCAAGCAACTAACCACCAGTTTCAAATCTTTCGCGGACTTGAATCGGTGAGGTATGCACCAAAGCCGGACGGACGGATCGGAGAGGTACACGAAGAGATTATACAAAGAATCCCGGCAGGCCCCTGAACATTTTATACAGGGGCTATGACAGCCACTGTCCAGCAAAAGCCATATGTTTAGCCTGAGAAGGTAGTCGGAAACAAAAAGAGGCCGCTATGATCTGAAATGGTTTCGGCAGACTAGAGTAGGTGAGACTCGTCGATCAAAGACTCCGGGCCGGGGAGAGGTCAAAATAAACGCCAAGAACTCCATGACCAGTAGAGCAAGAGGCGGCCACCAAGAAGTTCGTGGAAATGCCGAGATCGGCAATAGTGGTGAAGTAGTTGTATGTTGGTTGGTGTGGGGTGTCTTCGCCAGTATTAAAAAGCGATACAAAAGGAAGAACAACGGAGCTTGCCAGTGAGGGCTGGTGCTGTAATGGCTGGACAACAATACAGGGTGCTGAATGCAAGGCTGAGGTAAAGGAATTCGTTACGTCGTCAGTGTCAGGTTTAAGTAGTGTGCATGCTCAGGCTAGTCGGTATGGGCTGGCCGGATGTAAGTTATTATGCTAGGCAGCATGGAGAATCATGATCTCCAAGTCACATAGGGTCGTGTAGAGAATATACGACTGAGGCGGACAACTGCTCCTCGAAGGTGGGAGTTTGTTGAGGAGGTTAAGTGGTAATCGAATAATTGCTGGATCACATCACTATACAGCAACCACAGCCCCCTTTCTCTTTCGGTTCTTCTTCTTGTGGCTCGGGGGCCCTGATCACGGGTGAAGGGTGGGCTTGTTGTATCGGAGTTCGAGGACTGGCTAGCGGGCTCATATTCGGCTTCTCCTGGATCTTCGGGATGGTGGAGTATGAGCCCGTCCGACCGGGCGGCATAAGCGTGGGACTGCGGGCCTCTGTCTTCAAGGGCCACTCGTCTGGTTTCTCGTTCTCGTCCTTGCTCGGTTGAATCAGATCTGGCTCAGGCGGCTCCAAGAAGCCTTCATCGGTCAGTGGTCGGAACTCTCTATCGTAGATGTTGCCAAATTTACCCTCCTTCTCCCACTTCTCTTGCTGTAGTCGTCGGGCCACAGTCGGGAGCAGCTGCTGATCGGGAGGCAGTCGAGGGTCGGGACGGTATGCCGAGACCATCCATGGCGGTTCGCCCTCGGGCTGCTTCGCACTGACGGCACCTGGAGACAGCTCCCGCTCACCAGATCTCGTAGATGGCCGTGTACCACCACTGCTGCTACCAGAGTTGGTATTCGGGCCACCTCGAGTCTTGGGTCGTCCTGTCTGATTGTTCGCCTTTGCCGGTGCTGAGGATTTGCGAGCTGCTGCCGTCGTGGCTGCCTTCTTCGGTGATGCATCAGTGGCGGAGCGTTTCGGCTGCGTGAGCGTAGTTGTCGTGGAGTCAAGGCCTTTAAAACTACCACTTCTTGTTCGCCGTGCCTTTGGCATGAATATGCTATTATCCTCGCCTGGACTACTATCCCTCTTGCGGATCATTGGCGTGTCTCGCTCCAGCTGCTCGAGTGGAATTGGTACGGGACTGGTTTTCGCAATAGGGATCTTTGACGAGCCATTGGTGCCGGGGATCGAAATCCAATATCCCTCCCCTTCGGCTTCTATTTCCTCAGGGAGTCGTAAATCCCAACTAGGGACCGGCGCTTCTGGAGTCTTTGGCTCGACTGTTGTGATGGTTGAATTCTTTCTTGACCTTGGATGATCACCTCCCTCAGCATGCTTTCTATGCCCGTTCATCTTCTCTGTACTCTGCTCTCGCCGTGGTTTGCTGCGGGCCCGCGCCTTCGGTAGGATGATGCCGGCGGCCTGCAATTCTTCGCTCTCTATCCTGGCGAGCTTGTCGCGATGGATCCATTTGGAGCTCTCATCATCCAACACAAGATCATCCCGAGACACTTCTTTGTTGGGTCGTTTGTTGTCAGGCGGTGGAACACTCCGATTGTTCCCATAGAGGTCTAGCAAACTGTCGGCAGGGCTAGTAGAATCCTTCGTGCTACCACCGTGTTTACCCTCCGGCCCATGCGGAGGTGATAGGTAAGCTGCTTCTTTTGAGAATGCAGCCGAATCTGTGCCATTGACCTTTTTGAAAGCCGAGTCCGTTCCTGTGTTCCCGCTGAAGGCCGCTGAATTGCCGTTCTGTGGGAGAAAAGG